AAGAAAGAAGATCTGGGGCAGTTGTTCCACATGAGAAAACATGTTGACTATGCTGCCAGAAAAGAAAAAAAAAATAAAAAAAATAAAAAAATAAAAAAAAATAAAAAAAATAAAAAAGACAACTTTTAGAGCTAAAAGGAAGACAAATAAGGAAAACTATGATGCTTTCTAGACAATGAGGAAAAAAGAGGATCCTTGAAGGAGTAGACATTCCAAAATATTTTATCTGCCAGCTAAATCAGTTCTCTTTCTTAAAACAAAGACAATTTAAATGGCATAGAATGAGTTGCTCTGGGGATAAAGTTGCCAGGTGGTTCAGAATAAGGAAGCATGTCAAGGTGGCATAAAGGAGTGAGCAAGCAATCTCCACATAGCTCTCAACATATAATTATACCAAGCACCTTTTTGCTGGTTATCTGGCAAAACTGTTTTTAATTAATTTGCAAGAGAAAAAAGCCAATTAACTTTTTGCTGCCAAGCTGACACCAAATAATATTCAGATACAGATAAATATTAAAAACTTTACAAGATAGAAATCCATCTAATCCAAATGCATACCTCTTGAGGATTTCCATTGATGCTGCCTCAGCATTAGATATTAGGGCTATTAGACCATAATTAGAAAGGTAATCAGCACAGGCCAAAAACTGCTGTTCGTCATTTTTGTCAATTAGTTCAGCTTCATCCTGCATTGAGAGCAAACCAAGATTGATATTAAGTGTTCATTCTACCTTGGATGCATCATAAATCATTGCCTGATTTTTAAACATCCAAATTTATATTAAGTACTATCTCCAAATTGATTTGATTGACAGTAAATAAACTTCGTAACAAGAAAAATATTTGCACCAGATAGAATTGCAATAGTCACATGTATGCAGCTATACTAGCAATCTTATCAGTTTGAAGCTGCAAAGTACAAATTACAAAAATACTCCGAAGTAATCTAACAAATGAAGTCAAAAAATAAAGAAAGAAAAAAACACCTGCCCTAGGCTAATTTCAGAAGCAATGATTAAATGCTAGCATATCTGAAGACTCGAAGTAGACAACATATGATAAAGTAATAAAATAGGAGACCAAGATGTGTTCCAGCTTTGATAGAAGAATGGTTTATGCTGCTAGACGACCATGTCACGTACACTACTTTGCTCATCATAGAAGCTTAAAACTAGTGAAAAGGGGCTCACGAGGTAAGGCCTTGCTAATGACGAAGATGAGTAACAATCCATTGCGTCTAAGAGAAAAATGGAGAGAAACAAAACAGAATAAGCTTTTAAGCCAAAACAAGAAACTGAAGACTGATGTGAATGCTCGCCTATGTTTTCAAAATAATAAGGCGCTATTTCGAAATTTCGAGAAGAACATCAACAACATACCCAGTATATTTCCAACAGGTTGGGGTCTGGGGGGTCAGTTGTACGCAGACCTTACCCTTGTAATTTCGAGAAGAACCAAAATGGGAAATATCTGTCTCCTAGCTTGGAATGGATAATGCTTACAGTTTAAACTACCAGGGCATGTGACCTCAAATTGCCTCCTTTTGAAGGTGGAAGAGAATCAAAAGAAAATGCAACTAGAGACAAGGCTTGGAAGAAGAAGCTGATCAGAACACAAGTGTTACTGTAACGTCAAATACGTCAGCAACATCAGCAATACCTAGTTTCATGCTTTTCAACAATCAAAACAGCCCACACATGAATTTATATCAGTGGAATTTCTTGTGGTAATCTATATCTCTATGATTAAAACAATCCATTGTTGCTATTATTGTCTACAATATTCCTGCCCAAATATTTTGGGCCATATATGGACTCTATATTTATATGATGTAGATTAAAATAAATTTACATAGTAATAAAATTACCTAATAAAAAGTTGTCTTTCCATGAAAGCTATATCTATATACCTCTTCAAACGTTTGTAATATAAGTAGAAATATTTATGTTAATATAATGAATAATTCATGTGTAAAATCTGTTAAACCCATATAAGAACTTTATGATTCAAATATTTATCTAAAACAAATTTATTAATTAATTAATTCGTAAAACATAACAGAATACACATGTAACACTATAAATTTTCCATAAAACAAATAAGTCTCCAATGACTACATTATTTGTCAAATTCACAAATTGAGAAATTCAAAAAGAAAAAAGTATTAATGTAATTGTCATTATGATGAACGAGTGAAAAAAAAATATTAATTACCCATCAAAAACTTTTATATCCATTAAAAAACTGTTCAATTTCCAAAGTAATGGAATTGCTAAATATTATAAATAAAAATGAGTAAAATAAGAAACTTATAGAAAATAAATACCATAAGATCTAGAACAAAATTTAAAATATTTTACCATGAAGTTACTAAAATGCAGAATTTAATTATAAAATGAATGATATTACTCGCATTCAGAATTATGGAAGCATAAGACAAATATGACGGCTAAAACTCTGCACACCTGTCTATACATATGCTAAGAAAATGTTGATTTTATAATTTATGATAAGATTCATAAAATGGATACTCATAAATGCACACAAAAATAATTTTTGTAAAAGTGTCATATTTAAATTAATGGGCATTCACCATTTTAAATATTTTTGTAAATAATAAAAATCATTTATTCAAAGCAAGGTTTTTCCAAAAACATAACATGAATAAAAAGGGATAACAAGAAAATAATAAGTAACAATGAGCACTTGGTTGAATCCTATAATACCAAAAATTAACTACTAATACTGAACAATGAGAGCATATAATTTTACCAGGTAGAGAAGGTATTGTCACAAAAATGTATCCCTACAAACAACAGCATAGCCTTTTAGTCCCAAACAAGTGGGGCTGCTATAAAACATACTTGAAACTTAAGAGTTTCAGAATTTGAGAAAGCAATCAGACAAGCATCTGATTCTATACATAATCCAATTTGAATTTCCATTTCAAATGAACTCCTCAAGCTTCTAATCACTGCTTCTACTTAAAGAAGATTTTGTTCCAAAGCTATTCCGACATGGTATCAAAGCTCAAATTTTGCCACAAATTTACCAAAAAAGTACAGGATGACACCATGCACATCCAGGCAGACAAACCAACTCTGAGACATCATATCTCATGGATCAATTCTTTTGGCCAAAGGTTCTTGGTTAGCATGAGACTTTTCCAGGATTAGTCCAAGACTGGCATAGTTATTATTGGTGCTGCCATGGCTAGATGCGACCAGTGTTATTAATGGCGGATGGCGGTACATGGCGTTTTGCCAAAATTCCGCCATTGCGGCTGCCGGGCGGTCTATGGCGCCGCCATGACCGCCATCATTCACAAATTTTGCAGGCGGGTTGTAAAAAATCCGCCACACCATACCGCCATGGCCGCCATTTGATAACACTGAATGCGACAGAAGCAACCCAAAATCGCATTGCCACAGCCTAGGGCGACACATGCTGTGAGGCAGCTAGCTTGCAACCTCAAACTCACACCACCAGTGAGTGAATAATCATATCCACCATTTGCCTTCAGTAATTTAAAGAGTGGTGCCCATCTAAATCCATATCTCAAAAAACCAAGCCTCCAACACACACCACCCTTGCCTTAGACTCAACATATAATCACCGGGAGTAGAAAGAAATCAATCACTAAAAATCTTGATGGACAACTACAGACTAACATGGATTTGGAAAGGTTTCACTTACAAATACTTTTGCATACACGTGGTTTCATTCTCAATAGCTACTTTACATAATGGCTCCTGGTTTGTTACATTATGGAAAACCACATTTTGAATCCTATTGTTTTCTTTTGTTAGAAATAAAATGTAAAAATTTAGCTTTCTTTCTAGATAGCTGAACTAGAGGAGACTTGATATTCAAATCCCCACCTACCAAGATTAGATTCTATCTACGTACATTTCTTTTACATTTCTTCTACACTATTACATACAGAATTTCAACTTTCCTATCACTGTATCAGTAAAATATATGATTTCTACAGCTTATGTGAAGACCATAGAACAACTAAGAGCACCCACAATGCTATGCTTTGGGTCTCTTGAGGAAAAATCAAATGTCATATAGGAAATAGACTAAGTCTATAAAAAGATGTACTCCAATCATCCAATGCAATAAAAAGTAGACTTAGTATAGCTTATGTGGCACTAGAAAAAGGAGACCAAGCCCACCCTTGAGTCTATTTTGGACACAAGTACAAACCTGCCTATTCATCAATTGTTCACAATTTTCTTTTTTTTTTTTTAATAAGCAAAACATATTCTTTTGTATGCATTTATTATTATGATATTTTTATTGGTTGTTGGGTATACTAGACCTAGTACCTTTTTTTTGCATTGGATAGATTTTCGATTTTTTAGGTTGGGTTTGTCCATGTCATTATGGACTTAGGTCTATTTATTTGCCACATATGCAAAAATAGACCTAAAGCATTGTGGATGCTCTAAGGGACGTTCACATCAAACCTTTGAGTTGGACTTGGGTCACTTACATTTGTAACAGGCTTGGCATGATAGTTCTACATGTTCCCCTTGAAATAGAATGTAAATATATAGCTTCCTTTCTGGATAGAAATAGAATGTAAATATATATCTTCCTTTCTGGATAGATGAACAATATGAGATTTGAGTACCAAATCCCACATATCCCAATTAAAATTATTCTATCATTTATGTAATGATAAACATTTCTCATACTCTATATTCAATTTTTGTTTTCTTATCACAATATTCATCAATGACATGTTCTCTAAGGAAGATTAAGTAAATAAATATACCTATATTCCCCATGACTTGATGCTAACGCTATTAGCACATAAGAGCAGTTCTGCTACTAACTCGAGATAGCTCTTAGCATAAAATAATTGTCATTATTACTAATTTAACTGTGCCTATTACAAACAATAAAAATAATAATTATATAATCATAACTATAATAATTATAGGTCAGGCATAAGTGGATCTTGAGCCAAGTAAAATATCGCCCCTTAGACAATCTCAATAAACAGATTAAGCGCATATAACATTACAAAAAGAAGGCGCTCCAGTTATGAGACCTATATGGAGTAATTTTTCACAGTAAGAAGTCCTCTGTGATTTTACTTTAACGCTCATGAATTCCCAAACTACAGTCCTATTGAAACCAAATCTCCTCAACCGTGAACCCTGAACTCAATTATTCTGGATGCTGTGACGACATTTTTCTTTAATATTTCAAAATAAATAAATAAACAAATAATGTCTTCATACAATTACAACATAGACTTTCAGGAGTACTTCTAAAATTTGCAAATACTATACAAGATCGGTTATGATGCATTTATCCCAAATAAAGTTCATAGAATACACATATGATAGTGAACATACTACATCAACACAAGAATGATCCTGAAAGGTTTGCAGACGCAAAACATTGTTCCAAACGGCCTAAATTGCATCTTACTAACAATTAGGAACTGCATATCAACTAGACTATGATAGATGACGCACCATGCTTTCTACTGACAATATAAGCAATCTACACATGTATGGTCACTGTTAAAATATCAACATATAAAACGCATTAGAAAGATAAGTATCAACGTTGATCGATTTTATTATAGACATCATCTTGCTTACGAGTAAATCAGAACTTCCGAGGCCTCGTGCTGTGTCGATATATAGATGTCTCCCTAATATATTGACTTGAACCCTTATATAGAGGTTCAGCATAGTCATTGCCCACAGTGAAGATACCATTTTTGTAAAACCTGGAAACAACAAAGTCAATGGAGTTGGTCAAAAACAGCGCAATCGAGCAAAATTACAAAAATAGTTCAGTGCACTGTACATAAAGGGAAGTCTTTGAGCCATACTCAAAATCTTGAGTTTATCCCATAATTCAAGTTTCTCAGCCATTGTTACAGTGTTTGGTTGGCCCTTCCCTTGGATTAATCTCTCGGTCAATTGCGTAAGATCCAAGTTCTCTGTTAACCGACCATCTAACAAATGCATGACATGAGGAAGAGTTGTTGAATCAGCTATTCTCTGTACCCCCTCAAAATGCGCTTGAATTCTAACACCAGGCACAGAAATGTAAATGAGCCTTTAGCTATAGAAATAGTGCAATGTGTCAGATATAAATCATGAGGGTTTGCAAGTCTTAACTGAGCCTTAATGAGCTCCTCACTTTCCCTCTCACGAGCGAGCTGTTTCTCGAGATCGCTGATCCTACGACGACGAGCATCGTAGAGCTTGTACAGTAGATATCCACTGCCAACAGCTCCAAGTGTAACATAGACCTTTCTCTTATGCCTTCTCCAAAATTCCCTAATTATCACACCCAAAAGTGCCGGATGAAACACAATTACACCATAAATACACAAATTTAATTCAGAGAAAAAAAAAAATGTAGGGCACAGACAAAAGAGAAAGACACAGACCCCATATTTGTCTCTAAAAATTTCAATCTTGCTTGAAAAAAATCCAGACACCTCAAAGATTAAGTAAGGAATGACTCTTGCTTGAAAATCAATCTCACCGCATTCAAGCTCTTTGCTTAATCCTTTTGTATTGCAGGTCGCAGTAAAGCGAGAGCGGGAAGGAGGGTTTCTCCGGTGAGACTGAGGTACAGAGCCAATCTTGGGAGGGGTTTTTCGTATAGATATGCTGCAGACGCGTTTATCGAAATTCCCGGTCAGGCCTCCGGTCATTAGCGGTTCAACCATGTGGACACTCGGTTAATTGCTCGATCGGATAATTAATTTTAAATTTTCTAAATTAAATTATATATAGTATATCTATTACATAATAAAAATTTTGTATATAAATTTTATACATCACAGTATTAATAATATTGTTTCTCATATTAAATATTGACCATATAAATATGTATATAGGTATATATATTATTATTTTTAAAATAAAAAATATTTTTAAAAAATAATATATATATATAAAGTGACCACATCGAACCGGGTTGATACCCGATTCGACCGACAGTGACTGTGTGTGTTCGAATCTGTTGTCACCTGGACTGAACACGGCTCCAAGTTAATCGGGTCTCCGATCAACTGGCTAGTCCAAGTGGAAAGACTATAGTCAATACTCATTTTTACAAAATCTAAATTTATCTCTCTCTATATAAAGGCATTTTGCATTCATTCACATTCATTCAATCACAATTTACACTCTCGCTCACCAACCTGATGTCAACATCATTTTTTCACTAACCATCTCTACATTTATATACTCTTCTACATTTGTTAAATTATTTAGATGAAAATATATGATATCCATTCATTTACTCATTCAATATTATTTTGATATTCTATCTTAATAAAAATAAATATTTGATTTTTTATAATTTAAATAATTAATTTTAAATGCGCGAAAATACAAGTAACATCTGATAAAAAACTTAAATTAAGATTACAAATAAAAAATAGAATAACAAAAAGAATATATTTTTAGTTGGTAGCAAAATGAGTTCAAATATGCTCACTAAGTCTGCACGAAGTTGGTGATGCAATGTATCGTCTCGTATCTCTGAATTTGTACGAATATAATCTTGAAATTCTCAATTTGAGCCTTGAACCGGTTATGCTGGGTCTTCATCTTCGTCATTGTACAATTGTGCTACTTCATCACCTTCATCTTCATCAATCATATTGTGTAAAATAATAAATATCAACATCATAAATTTGACTTTTCTTCTATACTAAGACCAAGCAAGATCTCTCACAATTGTCCATCGAGGCTGAAGCACCCCAAATGCTCGTTTCTCATCTTTTCGAGAAGCTTCATGTTTTTCTTTCAATAACTTTCTTTAGGATAGAAGAAAAAGACTTTATGAGCGTAGCCCATTGATGCAGCGCATCCCACATCGGGTTTGAAAGGAAACGAAGCAGGCCTTATATGAGGATGTGGAACCTTCACTAGTAAGACGCGTTTTGGTGGGTGTGTATTGAAGCCCAACCAAGAACAAAGCCGTGCGGGTGGCGGAAGTAGCCCAAAGCGGACAATATCTTACTAGGGTCTGCATCAGTTGGTATCAGAGCCCATGAATACAACAAGTTGTCAGCCCGAAAGGTTGGTCCTGTCGAGGTAATCGAGAAAATTAATCCTAATGCTTATCGATTGCGCCTTCCTTCTCATCTTCGCACTTCGGACATTTTCAACGTCAAGCATTTGGTGCCTTATTCTGGTGATCACTCGGATGATGACGAGGTCGCTTCCGATTCGAGGCCGAATCTTTCTCAACAGGGGGGAATGATGACGACGAGGCCGCTTTAGCGTATCTAGACAAGTTCGACCGGCTCAAGATTTAGTATTATTATTTATATCATCTTTTGTTATTTAGTTTCCTTTTGTTATTTATTTGATGTCCTTAATTATCATGCCTAGTTTAGGAAATAAATAATCCTCTTGCACTTGTTAAGCAAGAGTAGAACTCTTTTCTCTATTTATTGAACAGAGAGATGAGATGTGATTCATTCATCGTTGAAATAAAAATTATTGTTCTTCTTCTGCAAGAGAGAGTATCTCTTATTTACAAGTCTTGAGAGAGTATCTCAAGCATCCCAAGACACGTTCTACATCACCCAATTTAAATATATTCTATCTATCAAATAATACCCCTTTGTATATTGTGTGCCATTAATAATGAGACATTTGGTGCATTTCCTTGCAATACATTGTTAAATAAAAAAAATTTATATATTACATTGATATCATTATGTGATCCTACAACACCAAAAAACGCATGTCATATCCGTAAATCGTGTGACGTAACCGCTTCAAGGACAATTGTAGGAGACACATGTCCTCTTATAAATTGGTCTTTCCAAGCAACTGGTCAATTTTTCCATTTTCAATGCATACAATTAAGACTTCCAAGCATACCCGAGAAACCGTAATTTTGTTCATGCATCTGGAGAAGTCGTTGAACATCACTAGCAATCTGTCTTCTCAAATATACATCACCAAAAGATTGAACCACACTTTCACAAAATTTAAAAAGACGCAGTTGACTCACACATACGTAAATATTCATCAACTTGGTTAGCTGGGACTCCATAAGCCATTTGACGAATGGTTGTCGTGCATTTTTTTAATGGTGACAAACTCTTGCTTACCGTTCCATCATTATTTTGCTGAAAATATGATGATCGTGTTTGAAGTGCATTCACAATTCGTAGAAATAATTCTCTTCGCATACGAAAACGCGTATAAAATATGTTATCCGGGTAGACTAGATGCTCAGACATGGACGGATTTACCATTGGCCTGGGCTGGGCTGAAGCCCAGGCCTGCTAAGTTTTTTAACAACTATGAAACTTGTAAATATTTTTTATTTTATTGCTAGCCCACCCAATAAACCAATACACCAACCCACTAAAATAGCTCATCATAAGCCCAAACACTATTCTCTATTCTCTAATAAATTATTGTATGGGTTGCTCATCTATTCCACTAACCACAAATTACAAACACCACAATACACAAACACAAATAAAAAATTCACCTCGTCCATGCCCCTTTCTAAAGTCTCAACAACAGTTTTAGAACTGAACAACAAATTTAATTATCGTGGCCCCATCAAGTCCCTTGAAGACAATTTAATTTTTTTTTAGGGTAAGTTATATTTTTAAACCCTTTTTGGAAACTTAGACATTTGTTCTATTTGTCTAAATGTATTTATTTATCTTTTTCATTTTAGTTGAGCTATTTATGGTTTTAATAGTAATTGCTATGATTATTATTATGTAATTTTTTATTTTGTTGATTGTGTATGGAGTAGTAATTATTATTATTATTTTTTTTTTTTTTACATCTCTTATCATCTAGTGTGGTTGTATATCATATTTGAATTTAAATTTATGATGTGTAAGCATTTCATTTTGGTAATAACTATATCATTTTATTTTACTAATAATTATGTCATATGGAAAATCAATTTATTAGTATTGTTAAGACAACGCTTCCTAATAAGATTTTGGATGGTTTTCTCTCTACGTTGGTTGATTCGTTTCATCGAACATAAGTTTACTAATAGTAATAGTATAAGTATAGATTAAATTATTGATGAATTTTATTCTATAAAAGCTCGTCGAACACAACTTCAGTGAATATTAAAAAAAAAAATATGTGACTTTTTTGAAAATGAGTATTTAAAATTTTAGCCCAGTCCACTCATAATTTCTGGATCCGTCCCTGTGCTCAGATAAATAATCACTTACGAGTATGTCACGCCCGACTTAAAGAAATGAGCCTTCTTCTTTTATGAATTTCAATTTGGTGTTGATATGGTTGAAGTAACATGTGGCTTCATTGAGCATTGGATGATATCATCGCAATTTCTAAATCGTTTGTGTCCTAACCATATTCACTGTCTTCAATTTGGTATTGATATGCTTGAAGTAACATGTGGCTTCATTGAGCATTGGATGATATCATCGCAATTTCCAAATTGTTTGTGTCATCACCATCTTCACTGTCGGTGTTGATGATGAATTAGAGTTTAATCAAGACGATATTGAGACATTTTTTTAGTGATCTAAATGAATTTCAAATTTTTGTTGTTGTGGTTTTTTATTCAATAAAATAATGTTGGATTGTTTTGAATGTATACACCTCTACATATATGATTATTGACAACATTATTCTATATAGTTGTCAAATTGATAAATATGTCATATCCCATGGCTAAGATCCTTATCTTAGCCTGCACCTTATCTTCTGACAATATTATTGCATATAGTTGTCAAATTGATAAATGTGTCATAGCCCATGTCTTATCTTAGCATACACCTTATCTTCTGACAACATTATTGTCATAGCTCATACCACGTGATTCTGACACAATGAATTGAGTTATATAATTAATAAATGTGCACATGTCTTACGGTCTAACACATTTATTTATGCCAACAAATTGATAAACATATTATAGCTCATATCTTATCTTCTGTCATATTTATTTCGGGCATATAATGTTGTTCAAATAGACAATACATCTCATGGATTGTCATGTCATTTATGTCTTTTTTTAATAATCTTTTTTTTTTTTACCAGAATACATCAAATCTTATAAATAAACTCAAAGATAAGTACAATACGAACTCCTAAATAGGAGCATCAATCTCTAGACTCAGACGACAAGAAAGGTTACCAAGAACCAACCTAAAGGGCCAACAAGACCACAACAACAGAAGAACAGAAAAAGCTACAGGAAGAAGAAACACAAACAGCAAAAGACTACCCAAACAGCAAAAGCCACAACTAAACTAGACAAAGAAACAAAACAGAAAAAGGAAACTGAAACTACTAAAAAACTACAACAACAAATAAAGTGAAGCAACTGGGAACAGAGACAGAAGAGTACAAATATCAGAGATAAGAACATTTGCCGGCCACTTGTCTTGCTCTTTATCAGACAACATATGAAACAAGTTCTTGTCAGTAAAGGTAAGAGAGATCTTCTGCCAATTAAGTTGTAGTCCCAATTCCAACCACTTTCTTAAGTCTAGCAAGACATCATCCAC